TCCACCTAATGACAGAATGCTGCTGTGCACATCCAACCTTATGACTCAGTGGGCCAGCTAAAGATCATGAGGACAGGCATGACAGGGATGGAAGGAACATGGTAAGACCAGTGAGTTGCATGAGACAGGTTGTATGGTAACTCGGTGTCCTGTGTCAAGTGCTCATTTTCCATTAAGGCCCAGTATCAGACCAAGAGCAGGTTTTTTTCTTTAAATCAAATTTTATTGGACATAAATATTATATTCATCTTAGGGAATTTATACCTGCGTGTGATATAACTTGTTTTTCTCCCCATTCCATTACTCTCCCTTCAACCTCTTCTCCCCTCCCTATTTACAAAGCTTTGTTTCTATGTTTTCATTTTCTTAACTTTTCCCTTCTTTCCTTTTCCCCTCCCTTCTCCCTTGTTCCCCTTCCCATTTGAGTATTTTCTTCCTATTTCACAATATTATACATTTTAGTTCTTATTTACACTTCGGTTTCTCACACCAGTACAACTGTGTGGTATTTCCAATGTGTGTCCGATTTACTTCACTTACCATAGACTCCAGGAGCATCCATTTTCCTAGACTATCCTTCTTCGTGGCAGAGCCATGCTGCGTGGTATTACAAAACCACCTTTTCTTTATCCACTCACCAGCTGATGGGCCCTTGGGTTGTTCCCAAGATCTAGCTATTACAGACTGTGCCGCTACACACATGGTGTGTATCTATCACCGTGGTGTGATGCTCTTAATTCTTTGGAAGATACCCAGGAGGGGATGCTGGCTCAAATGGGACCTCTCGTCCTCATTTTCTGAGGAACCTCCACAGATTCCACAATGGTTGCACTTTCTATACTCACCAGCCCACCCCAGCATTTGTTACTGGCTGATTTCTCGATAATAGCTATTCTTTCCAGGGTGAAATGGAATCTTAGTGTTGTTTTAATTTGCATCCAAGAGCTGTTTTTCAAAGGTAGTTGTCTGCAGATGATGGGTGAGCCTTGCTCCAAAACCCCGAAGGCCTCTGCTGCAATTTACCTCTCAGACTCCACACAGCACCTCTACCTGCCACTGCCACTTCGGATACCACTGGATCTGTGGGATTGTGTGGTCCCAGGGCATAGCACCCTGAACAGCAGCCTGGACCTGTTCCTGAGCCTTTTCTTGTTCTGGACTCCACTCAAAACTAGCAGCTTTGAGTCACTCAGAAGTGGGTCAGAGTAAGGCACCTGAGTGAGGAATGTGTTGCCTCCAAAATCCAAATAGGCCCAGGAAGCATTGTGCCTCTTTTTTGGTTATAGGGTGAGCCAGATGCAACTATCTTTTTCCTGAGAAAGGATGTCTCCACATGCCCCAGCATTAGGCTTCTAGAAATTTCACTGTGGTAGAAGGACCTTGAATTTTAGTTGGATTCATTTCCCATCCTCTGACTCTCAAATGCTGCACTGGCAAATCCAGAGTGGTTGCTACCTGCTGCTCACTTTGTCCCAACAGCATGACACCTTCACTATATGGACACTGTAGGAGAGAAAGCTGACCTAGCTTCCTATGTTGTGACACAAGGCTGGAGAGTTAATAGTACAACCCTGAGGTAGGACAGTGAATGTGCATTGCTGGCCTTGCCAGCTGAATGCAAACTGTTTCTGGCGACCATTGTGGACCGGTATGGAAAGGAAAGCATTTGCCAAATCAATAGCTGCATACCAAGCACCAGGATACGTGTTTATCTGCTGAAGGAAGGAAACCCCATCTGGTACAGACGCTGCAGCCAGTCACCACCTAATCCACTTTATGGTAATCTACCATCTTTCTCCAAGACCCATCCATTGTCTGCACAGGCCAAATGGGAGAAGTAAACGGAGGTGTGGCGAGGACCATCGCTGCACCCTTCAAGTCCTTGATGGTGGCACTCACTGCTCCAACCCTTCCAGGCATGCAGTATTGCTCTTGGTTTCCTATCTTACTAGCAAAGGCAACAATGACGGCTTGTTTGGCCTTTCCAACCATACCAGCCCTTGTGGTACATGTTAGGGAACCAATGTGAGGCCTTTGCCAAGTACTAAATCTATCTATCCCAATTATATGCTCTGAACAGGGGAAATGACTACCAATTGGTTCTGAGGATCAACTGGACTCACTGAGTCAGACCTTCGCTAAAACTTCACTGATCACCTGACCTCAACACGCCCCTACTCTTACTGGAGGGTCACAATGACATTGTGATACCCAGAATCATTGGTCGTTCAGAACCAGTGCTCAGTCATCGCAGAAATGACTGATCATTTCCCTTCTCCCAGTGTACACCAGAATATACAGTCCAAGACCCATCCACTGTCTGCACAGGCCAAATGGGAGACGTAAGCAGAGGTGTTGCAGCTGACCTGTGCCTCTCCAGGATCCAGTCAAGCCCACTGCCCTTAAGTTTCCCAACTGAGTAATGACAGTCCCCGCTGGATGTCTGGCATGCAGAGCAGCGACAAGGCTCTTCAGGGATGCCGCTGCTCTCCTCACAAATCTGTTTCTCAAGATGTTAGTACATTTCCTGGATCATCTCAGTGTGGAGGATTAGGTTTAACACGACAGATCCACTCGGCATTCCCATTCCCCTAAGCCTCTGAATCTCATTAACAGTAAGCCATGGAGTATCAGCCATCTCTAACTCCTTCACAGTGGGCCATCTTGAGTCCTACTTCTGCTAGCCAGCCAAATAAATTATTAACCTTTCTTTACTCGACATGCTGCAACATTGAATTCAGAATCCCAGCTTAACAGGCACATATCTATAAGCTCAGCCTGATCTGCGTATGTATTTCTGCCACCATCAAATCCACCCCCACACTTGCTCATCAGGTCTCTGCTCCTAAATTCCAAAACTCAAGCTGAGAGAGCAGCAGACTTTCCTAAGCCGCACTGTGCACCTCACCCTCAGAGGCCTTCTGCAATTTGAGCTTCGTTATAGGCTGAGGCAAAAATGGCTGGCGAGAGTGGGTCCTGAGAAGTGTCAGGTTATCCTGCTTGGTCAACACAGGATTAGTGTCCTCAGGTATTGGAGCGGCCAGCACCACAGGGGGTGGAGAAGTCTCTCCCCCAGGCAAAATAATCTCCTTAGCATTTAGGAGCTCAAGTCCTTCGCTGTCAGGATCCTCCCAAAGGCCTCCATCCTGGCTAACACGATCTCATTCTTTTCCAGAGAGCACCCTCACCTTACTTTCAAATACTCTTTGAGGCTGAGCATTAAATTTAGAATATAGTTCAGCCGACTGAATTACAAGGGCCTGTGTTTGAGTTTGTCATCTCAGCCCTGCAGCTAAGAGATTTTCTTTCAGAACACACTTAGAAACTTAAAATTTCTTGTGTATCTGAAGCTGGAATTTAAATCTTTGAGCTCCTTATTTTCCTTTAATTTATCCTCACAATCAGAAGATTTAACACTTCCTCTGGATGTTTGGAGCTGTTTTCCTTCACTAATTTGTCTAGAGATCCTGAAAACCACCAGTCAGCATATTTTCCTCCCTGTGAAAAATACTGAAAATTTTCACATACAAAGTCAGGAAATTCCTTACACCTCAAAATTGTAGGGGCCAGGGAGATGGCTCAGTAGAATAAGTGCTTCCCTGGCAAGCCCAAGGGCCTGGGTTCAATCCCCAGTTCTGCCAAAAAAAAAAAAAAAAAAAAAAACTACAAAGTGAACTCAAGCTCTTAAAAAAAAAAAAAAAAAAAAAAAAAAGTAAAGATAATCAAGTGGATCTACACTGCACATTACTCTAAGCAGTTCACACTAAAGACTCCCACGGAATTAGATCACAGCATCTTTAGATCTCACCAAATTAGAGCCAACTCCAGGAACCACTAAAGTCATTAAAGAATTGGAACTTTACAATTGTTTCTCTAGAGCCACTCCCGATACCAAAGTCAGTGTTTACTAGAGAAACATAGGATGCAAGATATACAAATATATGTAAGAATTTACAAGACTGGCTTAGAAGGACCACCCAGTGTCCACGTGGAAAAGTGCAGAGGGTTTGCCTGCACACTGGAGACCAAAGGACCCCGCTGAAGGTCTGGAGCTCAGTGCAGCGTCCCAGGCAAATCTTTATCTGGCTGATGGGTCTGTGCCAGAGGCTGGAGAATCTGCCCTGGAAGCCAGGAGATGCCATCCAAGGTGAAGGTCAGCTGGAGCTCACAGAGGCAGATCTACCCTTCTTCATTTTTCCCTTTACACCATCCAGGTGACAAGCTACCCTCTGGGGGTATGAAATTGGTAAGCAATGTAGCAGAGCTTCACTTACTCAAAGTGACACAATCACCCTCACAGCAGACAAGAAAACAGATCTGAGTCAAAGCAGGTACAGAAATAATTTATGAAAGCTTGCTGTGCTGGTGTAATGAAGCGTGAGTCAACAGCAACAATCTGACTTCACAGAATTATATTGTTCAAAACTGTGAAAGTGTAGCTTATACTCCTAACAATTTGGAAAAGGTCTGAAAAACCATGTACTAAAACTTATACCAGGCCTGAGTTCAATCCCTGGTACCACCAACAAAAACCCCAAAACAACTTATACTGGGGAGGGTCAGACAGATAGCTCAGTGGATTAAAGCGCCTGCTTAAGCAGATGCAGGGTCTGGGGTTAGATTCCCAGCCTGCCATGCTGGCCCTACTCCCGGGGGCACACAGGAGGAGACTGAGACTGGCTGGTGGCTCAAACCTGTAATCGCAGCACTTGGGAGGCTGAAAAAAGGAGAATGTGTGTAGTGAGACCCTGTACTAATAAATACATTAAAAAAAAACAAACCACCTTATACTGGGCTGGGGATATAGCTCAGGGGCCCAGCTTCTGCCTTGGAAGCCTGAGGTTCTGAGTTCAATTCCCATGCCCCCCCAAAAAAAGCTTACACTCTTGAAATGAGACACAAAGTACTCAGAATATACTTTCAAAATGCTTAGACCAAACTTACATACACAGTGTAAATAAATATTCAACATACTCTCACACACTTGAAAGAAAAAGGGGGACTTGTCCATAATCAAAACTTTATTGAAAAATTGCCATCAAAATAGGAGCTCAGTGCTGTGCACCTTACAAAGTCAAGCGTAATCACATTATCTTGGTATATTCATTACAATTACTGAACTTCTGATAAGGCTTTCTGTGAAAAAACAAATTCAGGAAGTTGTACAGATCATTAGTGTTGCTTTCTTCTAAATGAGCAACCTGCAAAGGAACCATGACAGTGCAGTGAATGAAAGTTTACTCCACCTTTGGTATAATTTTGTGGCAAAAGTACTTTATGTAAAAAAGACAAGTTTTAAGAATATCAGATTAATATTTATACGTAAATTATATCTGCATATATTCTGCTATGACCATAACTATCATTCTGGCTTCTCAAATTATATAAGGGGGTCTGTTTAGGTCCAAAACCTTAAACTCAACGTTAAAACTGCTCTGAAGATCCTCTGCCTAGGAAAGCTGCAGCTGCACCTTGATCCATGTGTCAGCATATGTGCACAGAATTCCAGGACCATGACGTGAAACGAGTTCCTCAGGAGCAATATAACTCTTTAATGTCGCACGCAGACTTTGTCCTCAGCTCTTAGCAAGCCACACCAAATGGTCCCAGCCTTATTGCTAATCCACTTCTAACTCTTCCAGTAAAAACATGGAATTCACAACTTCCCAAACTATCACAGCAAATTTCAAGTATAGTAATAGTAATTCTGCAAGCATTACTATGAAAAATTACATACATATATAATTATTTTCTTGCAGCACTTAAAGTGAAAGCAGATTTAATTAGATTTTATTAACCAATTGTTCATATAAGTAAAGGCTGTGGCATTTTAATTTGCACATTATTTGTTCCTTAGCTGATAATGATTTTTAAAAACCTGTCTTATGTTCTATGTACCAAAACTTTCAAATCGTACGATGTTAGAAACCCGTGTCCTACTATCTATACTTGTGCTTCCCTTCTGATTTGTTTTAATCTTATTGGTACAGGGCCTTGCTACACAGCTCAGACTCAGTGATCCTCCTGTCTCAGCCTCCCCAGCACGGCACTGCATGCGGTACTGGGGATCGAACCCGGGTCCTTGCACCTGCCAGGGAGACGTTTAGACTGCCAAGTTACCTCCCCAGTCTGATTTATTTTTAGTCCAAGCAAAGTGGGTGAAATAACTACAAAAGAATTGGGCTTTCCAAACTTAAAAAAATAGTACGAGATCTTTGCATAAACTTATGCAGTTGAACTGTACACCCGTTACTTAAAAAGCCCACACTAACACCGCATCTCTGGCTTAGGGAATACCAAGTGATTGATGTACCTTCTGTGAGTCTGGCCTTTCCTCCTGTAGGCTGGCACAAAACTGTTGAACAACCTACACAGAGAACCACTGTCTGAGCATGGCTGAAAACTGTGGTAATCTTGTAGCAACCTTAAAAAAAAAAAAGGGGGGGGAGTAGCAGATTAAAAGTGCAAAGCGGATGAAATCACAGCTGTTTACATACTTCCTGTAAAGAGTCAGAACTTCAGCGCTGTCCACAGCAAGTCATACACATAACATAAACTGGTCTAGTACCCAACTTCTTTTTTTTTTCCTTTTTGAGATAGGGTCCCGCTGTGCAATTCAAGCTGCCCTTGAACTCACTCGGTAGCACAGGCTGGCCTTGAACTCTCAGCCACCTGCCCAGTGTTGGGATTACAGGCACAAAGCACCACGCCCTGCCTGGTGGTGAAACAATGCCTAAGTGAACTTAATATTTCCAAAATTCTATTTCAGCAGGTAATTTCTCGGGCCTTGTTTCTGTGCTACATATCCAAAGCCCAGTATATATTTTACTGTTAAAGACTGTCTCCACTCTGGCCACAATTCAAGAACCATATATGGCTACAGGCCACCATGGTAGGCAGCAGTGTTAGCTCCAGAAACATCCTAAATCTCCACTGCGTCATGACAAAGAAAGCTCATCATCTGCACAGCTTACTAAGTGAAATCGTATCCCCTCCGGATGCCCATCTCTCCCCAACCCCTACATTTCGACTACTGAGTATATTTCATAAAACTACTATGGGCAAGTACATTTTTTCCCATAATGTTATTGAGAAACAAATAGCAATGAGACAGTTTCAAATCAAATTAGTAGGACAGTTTCAATAATTAATACATTGCATATTGTTTTGTTAAGTACATTTTGAAAATGTCCCTTCAGACATTTCCAATTCTGTAATCTCACTTCTGTTCAACAAAGTCCTAACGTATCTAAATGCACGCACCAAAATAGCCACCTCAATGGAAATTCCCTTTAGAAAAAGACTTAAGACTTGAAAATTTACCTGGACATTTTACATCCATAAAATAAGAATTTGGACTTTGAACTAGCCGTTTCTTCTTATGTTTTTTCTTTTCCTCTTCCAAGGAAGGGTGTAGTAAATCTCTGGCCAACTGAATTAACAAAACAAAACACACATTATTATTGCTGGAGTTAAAGCACAATGCTGGCCGATTTAACCAAAGGAGAAATACACAGGCGAAAAATAGGTCTAACAGACACACTTAGCCGAGGCAACGCTTCAGCTGTGACAGCTGTTACTTTTTAAACCCGGTAACTTTCACTATTCTGCGCTCCCCGAAGTCCCGGAACAGGGCTTCGCGACGATCTGACGCATATGGTAAGGCTAGTCTTCTTTACTGAGTAACTGTCCTCTATAAAAACACATCTGGGGACCGGGGAGATGGCTTAGTGGAGTAAGAGCTTCGCTGGCAAGCGCAAGGACCCGAGTTCAATCCCCGGTTCCGAAAAACACCCAAACCGATCGGGCAAGCTAGGCAACACCGAGGCTCTGACCCTGGCACTCCCCGGCACCCGGGGGCGCCGACCCGGCCCACCCACGCCCCGGCGATTTCTGAGGTGACAAGAGGCGGGGCGGGCCGCCCTGGACCGAGCGCGCAGAGCAACGGCAAAGGCCGGCAGCGCTTCCCGGACACTGGAGACGGGCGAGCGCCGAGGCGCGAGAAAGCCAGCGGCGCCGGGCCCCAGGGCCTGCCCCGGCCCTCGCAGCCCCGGCCGCGCCGCTCGCCCGGGCAGGTCCGCACATGCCCGCCTCGCCCGGGCACCCCGCCAGGCCGGGCAGCGAGCGACGCGGGCCGGGGCCGTCGGCATCGGCCGCCCCGCGAGACCCTCGACAGGCAGAAGGCCGGAAACAGGCCCGGAGCCCGAAGTAAACAACTCACAGGCATGGTGAGGAGCTCGCCAGCCGGCCCGACAGCGCAAACCACCGACAGCACAGCAGCGCCGCACGCCAACGGGCGCGGGGCACAACTTCCGGGATAGAGGCGGCGGGGCGGAGCGGCTCGCGCGGCGGGCGGGGCCGGCCGCTCTAGGCGCGCCTCTCTGTGGTGGGTCGCCGTGTCCCCGGGGAAGCGCCTTTCCGCTGGGGGATGTGTGCGCCGCGGCGCGACCGCGTTGTGTTCCAGCGATCTCCGTGCACGTGCCCCCGTGGTGCAAGCCTGTCATCACAGCACTGTGGGAGGCTGGGGCGGGAAGAACGCTGGTTCGAGCCCAGCCTGGGAAGCTCAGCGAATGAGCGAGACCCTGTGCCCTGAAAAAGGGGATGGGAGGGGGAATCAGTGCGAAGGCGCGGGGTTCAATCCCTAGTACCTCCAAGAGAGTGAATGGTGATTAGTGGGGGGCAGAAAATCTATGAAGTGGGGTTGGGTTTGTTTTTTTGAGGCTCTTCTTTCCCCTCCGAGGGACCTCCGGGGACAGCTTGGGAAAGCGACAGGTGCTGCCGACCCACAGACGTGAGGTGGCTTTGGTGCAAGGGACAACTTGAAGGACGGGAGCATGTGGGGTCGAAGATGAGACACGGGAGACACTTGCCTGGAAATTGGCCCGACTCGACGTTCAGCACTGCTTACCGCCTACCCACCGCACCTCCATCTAACAGTCGGCTCCCGCTGCCTCACCCAGATCGGCATTCAGGAGTCTTTCCCCAGTTATTTTACATTAACTTTATAGCAAACATTTCTGTGGATAAATTTTTGTGTAGGTCTTTGGCTGTTTACTTAGGATAAATTCCTAGAGGAGGAATCAGTGAGTCAAACATTCTGCATGTTTTAAGGTTTATGAAATCAGTAGCCAGATTATACCCTCTGAAAGTCAAGCCAATTTATATGGCATCCTTGACAGCCACGAGTATTATGCCTTTGCCCTGTCCCGTTCAGTCCAAAAGAACTAGGGAGTACTTTGTCTTCTTCCACTGTTGTCTTAGTTAATGTTCCCCATATTCCAGTGCTGCTAGGACTTTTCTGTTGAGATGGTCATTTACTCCTTTATCCTTCTGTCCTAGGGATGTTAATCGGAAGTTATATGGGGTGCAAATATTTAACCCAACTTGTTTCCAATTAACTTAGTTGTTGGTGATTTTTAAAATAATAGTAACTTTTTCCTATTCTCTATGCGTGCGTATTTCCAATCTATTGGTTTCTCCTTTCCACTGCTGTGTTTAGGCAGGGCCTGGGCAGGATCGGCACAACTCAGTATTTGCTCATGCTTTTCTTCTCATATTTTTGCTGTCATACATTACTTTTACTTTTTAATCAGCCAGGAGTTTATTTTTGGCACTTTGCAGGCCTCAGAACAAGGGCTAATGATCAGGACTCATTGTGGCTTCAATTCTTTAATGCGCAGCAACATGGCAAAACTTCACTTTCTGGGACACTCGGCAGCCTGAGAAATAAGAAGCTTATGGTCAAGAAGACCTAGGTTTAATTTTTTTTTATTATTATTCTTTCTTTTTTTTTTTTTTTGAGACAGGTCCTTATCGTGTAGCTTAGGTTGGCCTTGAGCTCACTATGTAACCCTGGTCTGTCTTGATCTTGCAGTTCTCCTGCCTCAGCCTCCCCAGTGCTGGGAGTGCAGGCATGGGCCACCATGCCTGGCTCTAGACTCCACTCATATAATTCTGAGTCTTCAAAAAACTCGGTTTCTCCCATTCATGCCCAGACCACTGCACTGATGCAAATTAAGGCACCTGTGGGCATATACAGGGTCCCAGAGTCCCTCTGCCTTGGTGACTTGCTGTCTCAGGTCCTATAGCAGCTGCCCTCTACTTCCCAAAGAGCCCAGCTGGAGGTGTGGCTACTCTCCTGAGAACTCCTCAGCTGTTGGTCTGGCTGGGTCAGGAAGGTGCTGCTGACCTTCCCCAGGCCACACCTGATCTCTTCAGCTCCCAAGTACACACCAGCTGCCTTACGCCCTTCTCCACTGAGCAACTGCAGACCCTGGGCGATGCAGGGTGTCCACACCGGTTAGGTCAGGAACCCCAAAGAGCTGCTCTAGATAAATCAGATTTTGTCTTTCCTCTAATGGAAGTTTCCAGAAAGAGGGTCAGCAGTTCAGCCTGCTTTTCACAAAATTCAAAGTGTGGAAGCCCAGCCAAAGGGTAGCTTTTCATCCCCTTCTGTGTTTTGTTTTGTTTTGTTTTCTGAGAAGCTCAGAAATACAAGTGTTGCCAACAAATTCCACCAAGTCTGCATGCATTTCTCATCCTTGTACTATCTACCTGTTAGGAGGTCTCAGGATGCCCATGGCTTGTTCTCTGTGTATTGCTAGTATCAGGAACAACTCCTTTTGGAAACATGATTTTGTTACTGTGCTGGCCTTGAACTCACTTTCTGGCCCAGGTGGCCTCGAACTTGCAGTGACCCTCCTTCCTCTGCCTCCTGCGTGCTGGGATTACAGGCATGCACCACCATGCCTGGCTCAGGAGCAGCTTCTGAAAGTTTGCCTTTCTTCTGCATGACAATTTTCCAGCAGGGACTTTGTCCCCACAGCACCAGACATCAGGCCTACATAACCGATCTGTCATTTGTGAGGATGCCTGATATGCGCACACCAGCTCCTGTTGGTAAGGGGCTAGACTCAGACCTGAACTCTGGCGTCTGTTTTTTGGCAGGCGCTGAGGATTGAACCCAGGGCCTTTGTGCTGGGCTATATCCTGAGCCCTTTTTTATTTTGGGACAGTCTCACTAAATTGCCTGCTCTGAGATCCTCCTGCCTCCGCTGCACAGAGTGCTCGGATTACATGTATGAGTCACTGTGCCCAACCCATTGTCTTTATTTTCTTTTTTTCTTTGGGAGGAACAAGGGATTGAACTCAGGCCCTTGCACTTGCCAGGGAAGCGCTTATTCCACTGAGCCATCTCCACAGCCCCTGTCTTTATTTTCTATACCAACTTAATTCCCGACTAATGTTGAGGCCAACCAGTCACTTCACCTCATCACTGGGGATCATGCTAGGATTCCTGCATGCGTCGGCTCCCAGGCCAACTTTCTATCATTCCTGCTACCCTGAGCCCAGAAGGCTGGCTGACGGCTGCACTGCTTGTGTCCCCCTGCTGTGCTGGTTCTAGTTGGGTTGGACCAATGGGAGGCATCAGTAGGAATCAGAGGCCCAGAGCAAAGCAGTGTTGTGGCCTTTATTCCTTGGGTCTGTCCTCCTTGGGCCATTTTCTGAGTGGGTGTTTCTCTGATGGGAACAGTTGCTTCAGAGGCTCCATTCCCACAGCTCTGGGGGGAGGGGTTTCCCATTCCTCCCCCCTTTCTTCCTTCCAACTGAGGGTTGGTGCCTCACCCTCCTTTGCTGCTGCCATTAACCCCAGCCCAGCTGTGTAAATACCTCTCTCATGAAACTCGTCCGTCATCCCTTTGAGTGGGCCATCTGTGATCTGCCAGGACGCTGAGGTAGGAACCCCTGCTAGGCTGTGCCCCTAAGCCCCAGAGGGCTTTGCCATCTGCTTCTCAGCTCACCACAGCCATGGCTATTGTCCCTGTCTTTGGGACCTTTCAAGTTCCACAGCAGCAGTTCCTCCTGTCCTGTGCTCGAAATGCACGTGGGAATACTACCAAGATGATAGTCAGCTTCGCAGTGCAGATCTGCGCCACTCGGTAGCCTGCGGGAAACATATAGTAAAAATAAGGTTCTTAGGCGCCATCGCAGGTCAGCTAAGTCTTGAGCTGTATTTTAACAAGATACCTGTGAACATCCCAGCGTGAGCCGCTCTGGCCCAGAAGCACCACATACTGCGCTACATATGTTTCCTGTGCATAACAGCGGGATCCGAACCAAGAGCCTCACACGGGCTAAGCACACGATCAGCCTCTGAGCTGCACCCCAGCCCACAGGGAGGCTTTCTCCCTCCCCAGTGGGACTGTCTGGAAGCCAGAGCCCCATTCCTGCTACTCAGAGGGAAGAACTCAAGGCTAGCTCTCCAGGTGGGAGCGGGGGAGCACCTCTCTTTGCCTGCCGCTCCAAGACAGTTTGCTCATTCCAGCAAACTGCGTTCTCCTTTGTCCTGTCAGGAACCCCTTCAGTCAGTGATGCTCAGACTTGGTTGCCTGTTACAGCCACCCGAGAGAAACCCAGGCCAGTGAGAGTCCCCAGGGGGAGAGATGTTGGTGATGATGTTTGTCTCCTGGTTTTCATGAGTAGTCAAGGGTGAGAATCCCTGCTGTGAGTCCTCCCACAAGGCTAAGAGTTCCAAAAACAAACCTAGCCAGAACTCTAGGCTCCTCCTGCTTAAAGGGTGACAGAGTTCTCCTCACCCTCCCACCTTCCAACTACAGAAAGACTCGGCTAGAAGGCACTCCCCAGGTGCCAATGTCGTGATCCTGGACTTCCAGTCTCCAGGATCGGGGGAAGTCAAAGTTTGGTAGCCAGGTGAGACGGACGGCCCAGCGCTTGTCCTGCCTGCCGCCTTTCCCTCCGGTCCCCTGCTACTGCTACCTTCAGCTTACGCCACCCCCGTCCGCCCGAGTCTCGTGGGAAGCGAGGGCTCCACTGAGACAAGCCATTCTCTCCAACTTCACTGTAACTCAGCAGCTCACAGTGCAGATGACTTAGGGAGGCATTGAGGTCAGCGTACATCATACACACGTAATCTCTCCCTTTCTGAACTCATTGCCCACATTCATCTCTAAATAACCACTGCTGTGGGGGGGGGGCTTTTGTTTTTATGCTTTTGACTGGTGGTTCACTTTCTCTGCGTCTATCTCAGCTCTTCCTTAAAAGTCCACAAGCTTGTGTGTGTGTGTGTGTGTGTGTGTGTGTGTTACTGGAAACTGAAGCCAGGACCTCGCACATTCTAGGAAAAGGTCTGCTCCTGAGCTCCATCACCAGCCCTTTATTTGGAGACAATCTCTCCTTAAATTGCCTAAGCTGACTTCGAACTTGCGATCCATGGGCCGGCGAGATAGCTCAGTGGACTAAAGTGCCTGCTTAGGCAAGCACAGGGACCCGGGTTCAATCTCTGGCACTACATGCAGTGCCAGCCC